GCCATCGATTTAAACATAAGGAAGTACACGTAAGGAATATACTTCTATCGATAATAAGTCATACATTTTGTGTTGTTCATTGAAACAAATATAACTATATTAAGGTATGGTGTTAATACATTAGGGGATGGAGGATATAGGGCATACAAAAACTATATTATCTTCTTACTTTTTCTGTAAATCATTACCTACTCAAAAACTAATTGCATTTAAAATCATTATGTGCTAGAGATAATTGGAAAAGGCCTTTTGTTTGTTGTTTCCCCAGGAACTTGGGATGTGGTGTTACACTGAGCTCTGGAGGCTTTCCTAGAAATCCTTGGAGTGTCTGAAGCCCTGATGTTTCTGTGAATCATCTACCTGGAGGCTCCAGGGCGAAAGCACAAAGCAGAATGGGGAGTGGGTGCTGCTCAAGGACCTTGCCATTTTATCAAGTGTGCAAAGGACCTTGCCATTTTATCAAGTGTGCAGCATTAACTGTAACAAATAAAACACTTAGTGACAAAGACCGTGAAAACTAGACTCCACTTAAAAAATAACGTGTGTACATGAAAACAAGTAGCATAAGGAGATGAAAATGGGAACTCACAACCATCTTCAGTCTCTCATCCCTTCCCTTTTATCCTGTCTTCCTTCTCACTGGCTACAGGTACGGCGCTGGAGACATTAGCCATTCTGATTTCTATATTAAAATTTTATCGCAGAAATTTCCAGGTTGCTTCCTACCATCAACTTTTCACTTGAGAAGTGGGGATAACCATACAATGAGTTGATATGCTGTAATTTAGTTGAATCCTCTAAGCTGACACCTCACTGTACCCGTTCCTCCCACAGGGGAGCCAGCTCCCTCTACCTCTTCCTGTGTTGTCCAGCTGAATGCTCACATGATGGCTCGGGTATATTTATTCCTTGGGAAAACATTCAGTGTCTGAACTGCTGACCGGAGCCTCCAGCCAGGGCTCAGGGAGGGTACACAGAGTCCATGCTCAGCAGCTCTGGGGACTGCAAAGCAGAGGCCCCACAACTCTGCAGTAACCCGGCCTCATCTTCTCCTTTCTGCTTTTCAAGATGCCTCACTCTGAGATCAAACTCGCCTGGCTTCAGGCATTCAAGACGCCTCTCATTTACTCATAAAGGGCTTGATGCTAGACCATAAACCATCCCACTATGCTGTCTTGGAAGATGGAGGAGATGTGTTGTTAGATGTCCTCACCCCAAGATCATCTCTGATGCCCTTCAACTCCTCTAAGGAGAAATTACTAGAAGCACCTACTCTCTCTCTCCTCCTCTGTCCTTGGCTCTACCCTCGTTCTCTCCGGAAAGTCCTGGATTATTAAAACAAAATCTGCTCTTCCTACCTTCACTACAAAATCATAATTTTCAGGCCTGGGTTTGGCCCAAGTAAGACACAGAAAAGAATGTAGATTTACAACTGAAGTAAATAAATAACATAAAATAAAGGGTTCTGCAATAAAAAGTACAGGAGACTGGAGGGCTTGGACTAAAATAGGAGGGAGTGCTTGGTACCAACTCATAAAATGGTCACTACACTGGCAGAGTTTATGTCAGGGGATGAAAAGCATGAGTAATGTTCTTGCCAAAAAGGACATTCTGGACCAGCCCATGCAAACAAGCAATAGGAGGCTGGAGTCTTGCCGAGCCCCATGAGTAAACAGCTGTGAGGTCAGTCCCAGAACAACAACACAAGCAGTTGGCTTTCTTCCTGGACTAGAGTCAAGGCAGAGAACCATGGCCCACCCAAACAGGGGATGGAAGGGCCTAGAATGCTGAACGATGCAGACATCACTACTTGGCTTTCCTCTGAACCGTGTCGGTGCTATGAGCCAAGGCGCCCACAATGACAAATGTGATGTGGAAGCCATCTACTGATTGTACTTTTGCTGCCTTTGGTCTGTCTGGCTTACTGACCTTGTGAAACATTTCAAGGCAAGGGGGTGTCTTAGTCCACTTTGTGTTGCTACATCAGGATACTTTGTGAGAGAAGAGGTTCCACTCAGTTCTGGAGTCACAGTGTCCAGATAGGACAATAATGTTCCTAGGGAGGGACCCTGTCCCTAACTGTGTTACAACAGAGAAAAGAAAACAAAATGTGTCTGTGCATATAAGAGATCAAGTGGTCCCATCAGCAACTCACTCTCAGCAGAGCTGCCTCAATCCTTTTCCACAGCACTGCTCCTAGACCTAGTCACCTTCCACTGAGCCCTGCCTCTTAAAGAGGCAGACTCTTACAATGGGGATTATAGGGACAAATTACTACATGACTCTTTGGGGGACACACTCAAACATATCTAAAGCATACCAGGGACCTACCTGACGGGAGGGCTTTTTATAGCTAGACAGGAAAATGTTTTGTTGTGTCTTTAAGTTAGACTAGTTTACTCTCAGTAAGGCTCCTTCACATGTCAATAGACCTTCTCTTTCTTTCGAGAAGTTAAAGTTATGGAAAACTCCATGTTTTCCTTCTCTGAATATTTTTGTTCCTGACATATTTTTCTGTAATTTCTTTAATTCATGTAGGATTTTCTACGTTTAAATGAATCAAAACCAAACAACTTCTAATTTGTTTTGTGCAGCTTAGCTGACCTTACAATGCCAAATTTTCTCTGTCTTTATGGGAAATCAATCTGGGAACTGAAGAACCTGTGTGGTTTATAGTCTACCTCAAACTCCAGGATAATCTAATAAATCAAGCTATAAATCAAAATTGCCAATGGGGGAGAGAGTAATTTCCATTCTATTTCAATTTTTAGAAGACAAACAAGCAGAACACAGTCTGGTAGTTTCCAAGGCATTAGTCTACCTTACCAGGCTTCACCATAAACCCTGGCTAAGAGCTTGGCCCTAAAAGTGGCTCATTATTAACTGTGTGTAAAAGAAACAGAGTTGGGGTCCAAATATAGATTAAAAACAGAGAAATTCAAATATTGGTTAAAAATACAAACCTAGTATGAGATTCCTGAAGGTGGATCCTCACACCGCCCCTTCTGTAGTGCTGGGCAGAAACTAGATGGGACATGGGGGGCTTGGGAACCTAGTTCTCCTAGTCCAGGCTCAATACTGACTGACTCCCTTTTCTGGATGCACGGGATGAGGGAGGGGACTGGTAAGGAGGGAAAGGCTTAGGAGGTCAGACAAGTCAAGGAGAAAACTTGTGTGACTAGATGAAGAACCCTTTGGCACAAAGCCACAAGAGTCTCAGGACATCAGCTTTTGAAAGGTGGCATGACATTGCCAGATGGGAGCAACCTTGCCCCAGGAAATGCACCTTTACTGGGAGGCTGGGGCAGGATTTCAGCCTGTCCAGTTGTCTCTGACGGTCCTTTTCACACAGAGAGCAAGGGCACAATTACACATGCAATTGATTGGTACCAGCATGTATAAGAAGGCAGGTTTCAGGCAGTGAGGGAACCAGGCTAGCAGACCTTCCGAGATTCTCATCCTGGGAACATTGCCAGTTTACCAGGTTGTTTTGGGTGTCACGTGACGAACCAGTCTATGCCAAGAGCATCTCCTAGGGAGCTGCTCCCAAAGCCTGCTAGACAGGCTTTCTAAACTACACAATGGTCCTAGGTTCAAAAGCTGGAAGCAAGTATACCAGACTCTCAGTTCTTTCTTCTGCGATGCAGATGCCTCACCTCATGTGAGCCAGGAAAGAGAATCACCAGTGTGTGTGATGTCGAATGGGAGGTCTTCCGTCTCTCCTGAAGGGCTGGGTGACTTTGTATCAGCATCTGTCACCTCTCTGAGCAGGGAGCTCTCGTTTCCCTGGGGAACTTCTCACTCTGTGAACTTTAAGTGGGAAGGCAATAGGGTTGCTCAATTACTAAGGCAGTTACTGAGTTTGTCTCAGGAGAGTGGCCATTTCTATGTCCTACTTAGTTTCTCACCCATGTCATTAGCCTCATACGTAGGTCAGTTTGTTGGGAAGTCCAAGGGCTTCTGATCATCATTCATCTTGCAGTACTATCAAGAAGCTTCATCTGAGCGAGGACTCAATGCTGAGGGAGAATCAGCTCCAAGACACACTAACACACAGCTACCAGCAGCCGCTACACCACAGGCCTCCTATCCATCATTGGTTCTCAGGCCTCGGTACTTCTGAGTTGTTTAGCAGGATCCCTTCACTGATGCATCTGTAAAAGGTCTAGACTGACACATGGATTCCTCGCTGGCTATTCAACAAGTTAGAGAAAAAAGACAGCACACAGAAATGGAAACATTGTCAGATCAAACCCCAACTCTCCTGAGTAGGTGCCACTGCTTTGGGGCTGGAGACATTGTGATTCTTTGACGTTTAACTGATTAAAAGTGAAGTGAGAAACCACCACAACATACCACCCCAGCTCCACCTTGATTTTCGTGCTATCTGCATACACATGCTGTGTGTTCCCATTGGCCAATGCACCGAAACTTATCTGTATCTGCTAAGCTTGGAACTCAAATTACCAGGCCAAAGTGGACACACTCCATCACCTGTGCAAGGTAGAGCACGTCCTTCAACACAGACCCATAATCTTTTAATCTGAAATCCAGATCTTAACTATGAAGCAGTCTTGGATTAAGACAAAGCTGCTTCACCATTTCATACCATGGACATGGTTTGCCTTTGCCTAAGGGTAGAACACTACATGTTTCAAGTGGGTGTTCATTTCTTTCACTTAGATTCTAGGTGGGCTCAGCGGCAGCACACAGTAGGTACTTCAATCTGGGGTCCTATGAAAGCAAACGGAAGCTGTCAGTCAGTCAGTGTTTGGTGGGTGCTGCTCATGCGCTTCTACTGGCTTCTCAGCAACAGAGGGCTTCTTGCTAATCTCGTCTCATCTCCTTTAACTTCCAGACCAACACTGAAAGGATAACAACAGGGGATGCTTAAATGGAGCTATTCTAAGCAACTCACAGATAATCAGTGGGTAGTGAGCGCCAGTAATATTTTTAGTACATTATTTCATAAGTGAAAAAGCTGAAGCGTCTCAGCCATTAAACAGCACGGTTGGCCAATCCTGTGAGTCTTTCTGTTTGCCATGAAGAAGCTAACTGCCTCTTTGACTCATGGGACAGCGTATTATTTCCAAGAAAAAAACTGAGGTACGGTGAACTAGATATGCTCTTTGTGGTTGCTGTGTGTGTGTATGATGTGTTTTCATGTTCTCACATGCGTATGTGCTTACCTGTGTGTGGAGGCCAGAGGTGCCTTCCTCTTCCTCCGCTGCTCCCCACTTTGGTTTTTGTTTGTTTAGAGAGATTTAACTGACATGTGCAAAGAAAGTGATCTTTAGAAAAGAAATGACTGGGTGGGTGAAAGGAGCCGGAATAAGGCCCCGTACTCTTAAGTCTGAAGACATCTTTCTATCCACCTTATTTTTTTTTGAAAGAAGGCCTCTTAACTAAACTCAGATCATATATACTCAGCTTGAATGTCTGGCCAGAAGCTTTTAGAATCATTCTGTTTCGACCTTCCCAGCACTGAGATTTTAGACACATACCACCCTGTCCAGTTGATCCAAACTCAGGCCTTCACGTAAACACTTTAGTGACTGAACCATCTCCACAGCCCTGTGGCCAAAGGCTTTATATCACCTACTCTTAGTCCTTGTAGTTTGAGGGAGCCTATAGTTTGTGTCACATCTTCCTGTCCCTCCTTTGCCTCCTTCATTTAGTCATGGATGATTAGACTAAGAATGGATAAAATGAAAATCACTTATAGGTTGGTTTCCTGGATATTTTAGGTCAGCTTGTCACAAACTAAAGTCATCTGAGAGGCGGAACTTCAATTAAGAACATGCTTCCACAGTATCCATTTTCTTGTCATTTTTTGGTATGCATTGGTATTTTGCCCGCATGTATGTCTGCGTGAGGGTACCAGATCTTGGAGTTAGACAGTTGTGTGCTGCCATGTGGGAGCTGGGAATTGAACCTGGGTCCTTTGGAAGAGCAACCAGTGCTCTTAATCTCTGAGCCATCTCTCCAGCCCTCACAGTATCCATTTTCTTAATTAGTTATTGATGTGGGAGGACCTGGGCCATTGTGGGTGGTGCTATCCCTAGGATGGTGGTCCTGGGTTCTATAAGAAAGCATACTGAGCAAGCCATGGAAAGCAAGCCAATAAGCAGCTCCCCTCCACAGCCTCTACATAAACGCTTGCCTCTATTTCCAGTCCTGTTTGAGTTCCTGTCCTGACTCCCTTTAGTGATAGATGAGGATGTGTAACTTTAAACCAAATAAACCCTTTATTCTCCAACTTGCTTTTGGTCATGGTGTTTCATCATAGCAATAGAAACTCTAAGATAGCTGGCTAGCAACTTCTGACTTAGGGAGTGGTCACAAATAAAATGACCCGAGGATGATATTAATCAACAAGAAAGTAATCAACCAGAGAAGTAATCAGAATTGGCATGGAAAATGAATAAGATTCTAGGTCCACAAACTCAATGAGTATCTAGAGTTGGCCCTAACCCAACAGAGCTCCAGAGCTAGTCTCCTCTGTGCTCAGTATCACTGTGATCCCTGCTCCTTGTTTCCCTCTAGGTTCATCTCCACATGACTCTCTACTGTTAGCTGTCTTGACTCGAGCCGGCTGCATCTTATCACCAAGAACCAGATGGTTCCACTTGTCTGAATCTGAAGTCCACAGGGTTCCATAGTCTTCAGCTGAGACTCTGCAGAGCAGAGTATCCTGGCTGGCACTGGGTATCTATATTTGACAAATACTAGGTGGAGACCTTATGCTATCTGGAACAGGAGAAATCCTCAGAGTGAAGAGTCTACTGGAAGACAACAGAATCCCTTTTGTTCTGGCTGGATGGGGTCTGATGAAGGAGTACCTGCAGGATACCTCAAGTCCTGAAAAGGGTGCAGCCAGCAAGACATCGAAGTAATGGAGATACAGTAAGCACGCAGCCTTGTCCATGGCTCTAATGCAGTAAAAACAATCTAGCATTTCTCCCTAACCTCCTATGGTTCCTGAAAATAGCATGCAGGGTTTGTACTTGCAGCGACAATGTGTGCTTGCTGAATTCTTAAATTGATCATTTTCTTTCTTGTTGGTTATTTTATTTTCCTAGATTAAAAAAAATCATTTTATATTTATAGATCACATATAATTTTACCCTACTCTTTAAGTAGGTCTTCACAGTTGCTTTTTTCTTCCAGTTTTCTTTTTGATTATTTTCTGATCATCTCCAGTTTGCTATGTTTTTCTTAACTTATGAAATGACAGGAAGGAAACATGAGTGGAAAGAGGACAGCTGTTAACACATACCTTGTCAAGTCCCATGAAGGGATCTGTCCTACCCAAATGACCCATTCCCTACTGGTCTGCTACGATTAGTCTTTAGATGAAGGGTACAGTATAACAAGATACAGGATTTGTAACCAGATGTATGAAGTGTAGCCTTCAATCCTTCTGCCTTTGTCTTGCCTGATTAGCCAGAATAGTTATAGGAAAATTACTCAAGTCACTAAAGCATTCTCAAGTTCAGAATTTCTTACCCTTTCCATACAAACCAGCACTGACCCAGGACTAATAAAAAACCATTTTTGTGCATGAGTAAACACATACATACATACACAGAGAGAGAGAGAGAGAGAGAGAGAGAGAGAGAGAGAGAGAGCAGCAGTAGCAACAACTCTCTGCTTGAAACTAGAAATAACCCATACATTCTTTATTTAGTGAATGTCACCATACTCTGACACACAGCACAATGGACTGCTGCTGAGCACGGGAAAGAAAGAATTGCTGATGTACACTATGCTGTGGGCGAAGCTCCCGGACACTCTATAGAACTGAAATAAGGCAGACTCCAGACATCCTTTATGATTTCTGTGTCATATTTGGGCCAAGAAAACTGAGCAGTGGTTGCCAGGGGCTGAGCGCCAAGGACTATGAGAACCCTTTTGGGTCTCAGAACCACCCCACATCTGGACTGTCGTGGTGAATACCCTACTGTAGCACTATCCAGAACTCACAGAGCTCTGTGTGAAGACGGTGAGTCACACGGCATGCAAATTGCACCTTGGTAGAAAGACATGTTCAGAGTGAAGGCTTGGGAATCAGGTTACATTCAAACCTTGGCTCTTTGACATTTTGGCCACAACCCCAAGATACACATTGTTTCTGAGACTTGTTTTCTTGGCTTGGAAAACAGAGCTAATAATGGTAGAGGCTGCTGGGGAAAGTGAATAAAATAATGTACCCAATTGTTTACTGTAATGCCAGGCCATTCCGGAACTCCATAAATAGTGGTTATTACTACTTCCATTCCTCATTAAAGAGTAAGGAGATGGTTAGGGGAAGAGATTTCTAAAGGTTTCTCCTTTAAATGGGAAATAAGAGTTTTATTGCAGAACTTATGAAGAATACTGGAGCCTTATAAAAATGAAGACACATCTTTTACTTCCTCAACAAAATTTATGAATTCTTCTCAGTTCTTTCTCTAAATATTGATGAATGACTCCACAGTCATTTGATTATCTTTCTGGAGTGAGTTAAGGCCATGACGAATGAACGTGAGTTCCTGAAACAGAGAGGAAAACATGAACAATGAGATAAATAGCAAACAGACACTAGGCTCCGGTTCCTACAGTAGCTTTTATTCATCTTGCCATTGAACAGCTGTTTGTACCCAGTACTGATGGTCCAAGGAGCTGGAGACTCGACTGTCACCTACAGAGGCAGGAAGATATCATCCTCGGGACTTGGGTCCCACATTCTGTGCAGATCACTGAGTCAGCTTCCTGAGCCTCCCTCCCGCAGAAATTTGAATGGATCTCTGTCTGCTCATCATATAGGAAAAATCGCTCCCACTTAGCCCCATCACATGCGCTCCCCGCCCCTGACATAGCATTTTATATCTTCTTTGCTAATAGCTATTGATTGATTGGTGTTGGTAGTACTGAGGGTTGGACCTAAGGCCTTGCATATACAAGTCAAGCCATATCCCTAGTTGCTAAATTTTTATTGTGAAATGAAGCCAGCTCCCAGGCCGGCACTCCCACTATCACGCTGTTTGTTATTGTCAAAGTCCTAATACTTAGCCAAACATGGTGGTGCATGCCCACAATCCCAACATGCAGCTGAGGTAGGAGCATGTTAGCCTAGGCTACACAGTGACACCTAGTCTGAAAAATATAAATTAAATTTCAACTTGGCATCACACCCAAATTCTGCACTTTGATTCTATATCTGGGATGTTTAGAGATCTTTAGCTGACCCCTGGTGTCATTTAACAGGTCTTTCGGCTTACAGGTCAATCAATTGCTTCTTTCCCTCATCATTCTCTATAACAGTGTCATACCTTCACATTCTTAATCTCTCTATCCAAACTGTGAACTGTACCCTGTAGACTGAGGTCTCTGTACCACCAGGTCCTGTAGCTGTTCAGTCCCAAATAAACGCACAGAGGATTATATTAATTATAAACTGTTTGGCCTATTGCTCAGGCTTATTATTAACAAGCTCTTGCCACTTAAATTAACCCATAATTTTTATCTGTGTTTAGCCACATGGTTTAGTATGTTTTCTCAGTAAGGCATTCTCATCTTGTTTCCTCTGCTCTGCATCTGGCTGGCTATTGCATCTCTGCTTTTCTCTTCCCAGAATTCTCCTAGTCTGGTAGCCCTGCCTATACTTCCTGCCTGGCCACTGGCCAATCAACATTTTATTAAACCAATATGAGTGACAACTTTTTACAGTGAACAAGAACATTATCCCACATCAGTACCCTTTTAAATAGTCAGGTCAATGCATGAGTGACCAAGCTAATACAGTAAAGGACAGTGTTTGTCTTCTACTATTCATGCCTTATGTAGCACTCTCTCTTCAACAGACTGTATAATCAACCTAGTACTCTCTAGGTACTAACAAGTGCCTCTCAAAATTAGGATATAAAAGAAATTGCAGCCTCTGCCTTGGCAAGATTACTGTCTTGGTAGGAATTAAGCTACTGGGCCATGAGATCACATAAGCCCATTTTGTATCACAACTTTGTTTATTTTAGTATTGTTTGGGGAGGGGAGTGGGGAGACAGGGTCTCACTGTGTAACTCTTGCTGACCTGGAACTCATTATGTATACCAGAGTGACTTCAAACTCACAGAAATGTGCCTGACTGACTCCTACCTGTTGAGATTAAAGGTGTTTGCCACCATGACTGGTTTCATATAAGCCACTCTGTAGAAAAGACCATCAGGGAAGAATGGGGACCTCTGTGCATGAGTACACACAAGCATACAAGCCAAGTGATGGAATCCTTGAAAGTGGAACTCAAGCAAATCCCTTTGACCTAAGCAATTTCACAAGACTCTATGATACAAACATAAACAAGTGTTCTGTGCATCCCTGTCCCAAAGGAAAAGGAAGCAGTTATAATCACTTATTATTGCTTTACTTTGCATTATTTCAAGATCACTTATAATGCAGTCACAGATATTCAATATATATTGATTGAGTAGAAGAGGACCAGAGGTCAGGTGACCAGTTGGGAGGTCACAGATAGTCAGGCAAGTGTTGACAAGGACCTGAATAGCTGTGAGGTACAGATGGATGGCAAAGAAGGCTCTAGAGATATTTAAGAGCAGAAATCTGCATGAAGTTGAGAGAATGTGGGTGTTCTAGCTTTGCTGGCTGGATGCCAAAAATTAAAATAGGAAAAGCAGGGGGATGAATACCTTGAGAGAGGATGGTGCACAGAATTATGACTCTGAACTGGAGGCACACTGAGGTTTTTAGTGTATGTACTGCTAAAGACCATCTCTGTCACCACTGGTTTTTAGTGTATGTACTGCTAAAGACCATCTCTGTCACCACTGGCACCCAGTGCCCACTTCAAGGACCTCTTACCATCCAGCTCCATGGACTATTCTTCCATATATGATGCAGCTAACTCTGTCTTACATCTGCAGAGTTTCCAGCTTCCTTCAATCAAGATTTTTCTGGTTGTCCTGGAGATCTCACATTTTCTTCTCATTATTTCAGCCTTTGCATAGCCAGTGTAGGCTCTACAGGACTCCACTTCCAACCTGCTCTGCAGCAAGGCTCCGGAGTCTAAGATTTATCTCCTCATAGTGGATGGAATGAGGCTTGATTATATTATATATTATGTTTTAACTGACATGCTGTCTTTTACAGCTATCAATTCAAATTTCCAGTTGAGAGAACTGCGCTCTAATTAATATACTTCTCATTTTCTGTGGTTGCTGTAATGCCATATGTTTGCATATAAACACAGACACACAGGCACATACAATATATACATATCTGAAACGTGGACAACTATGGGGTGTTAGGTTCTCAGGAGCCTATGGCTGCCAAGTCTTGAGTTAGTCATCAGAAATATTTGCAAATAAATATTCTCAGGACACAGCATGGAACTCAGTTTCCACACCTCTTTACTTATAAAGTGAAGTGTGGTCGATTTTCTTGCTTTTAACAACAAAATAGATGCGAAGAGACAGAACATGTGCAACTTAAGCCTGGCAGTGCTGAAAGCTAGCACAACCTTTCCAAGTTTCCTCTTCCTCCCTTTTGACTCTAGGGCCCTGAGAAACTGTGCAGAGCTGCCAATGTGCATGGGGCATGAACACAGGGGAAGAATGAGTGTTCCCCACATAAGGTCAATGAACTTGGAAAACGCATACCTCTACCAGCTTCTCCTGCTGGATACTGCTACAATAACACAATAATAATACTGCAGTTAATTAAGAGTACCTCCCCTTAAGCTTTGAGGGACGTGGTATCAAGTAAGCAATATCTGAGAGAGAATGATTTTATATACCGAGTTAAACAAGCACCCCTGGTGCTTGTGTCTTCCTGGGTTATAAATTGCAACTTGAGGAGAAGTAGCTGAGGATGTCTGTTTCTGATTTTCATTGTTTAAACGGGAGACCAACAGCTGGCTTAGAACTACATCTTCATTTTCAGTTTGAAGACTTGGACCAGATTTAGAGTAAACTTTAAACCTCTACTGGACATCCTTTAGACTGCCAGTGGGCTGTGAAATGTTCAGAGTACTATCTAACTATGAATGTTCAGGATTGCTTGAAAGATATGGTAAAGGATAGGTTTTCTTGGTGGTGGTGGTAGAATCAAAGTATGAAAAGTATACAAGAAGTGAACTTTATTTTTTATCATTCATGTTAATCATAGAATGAAGCCATAGCAGGACCTCAGGGCAGGAGCCTAAAGCAGAAACCACAGAGGAACACTTACTTACCTGCTTGTTCTCCACGGCTTCCTCACCATGCGTTTTTATACAAACCAGAACCGTCTACCCCAGCATTCCAGGGCCCACAATGGACTGGGTACTCCAATCACTGAGAAGATGTTCTATAGACATGCTTACAGGCCAGTTTGATAGAGATAGTTTGTCAACTGAGATGCCATCTTCCCAGACGACGCTAGTTGATAAAAATTTACCAGTATACTGTTGCAACAAAATAATGGCACTTAAGCAAAAGATATGCATTTCTCAAAGTTCTGTGGCTGGAAATCCAAGACCAGCATGATGGCATGGCCAGGTTCTGGTGACAGATCCCTTTCTAGCCTCTAAACAGTCTTTCTTTGATGGCTGTGTGGGGATAGAAAACCCCCTTTCTCTTTGAACCAATGGATCCAATTATGAACACAGCATCCGATGACCTAATCTAAGCCTGAGCACCTCCTAAAGGTTCCATTTCCACACACCATCACAGTGATGGCAGTGAGGCTCAAACGTATACATATGGAAGGGAACACAAATATTTAGCCTCTAACTACGGGATAACTTTTTGAAAGTCATAAATCAACAGTACTGTTAGGCAAAGAATTTAACATGTCCATAAACCAGGTTTCAATTTTTTTTTCTTGAAGGAAATAAAGTGACTAGTTTTTGACCCACGTTGTTGGTTTGCTTATAATGACACATTCTGATCAGGAACTTGGACATCTCTGTCCCGAACTTGTTAAGTATGGTGGTAAAAGGGGGCCTGGAACAATAACTTTCCAACACCAGAGATTAGATCAAATGAACTATACATGAAGGGGCCTGGGTAGGGCAATCTTACCATATACATGCCTTAATCCCAATCTCTTTTCTCACTGCATAATAAAACGTTGCCTAAAATTGTATATAACACAGATGTTGTCATCAAGTATTGTGGTGAAATGACTGGTTTTAATCTAAACAATGCACACAATTACTTGCATACTCATATATTGCTGATGTCGTGGTAATGTATCACTTTTATACCTTTTTTTTGGTGCACTATATGAGTTTCTTGATCTTCAGGTTAAGCAAGTCACTTGTTCAACAGAGAATAAAGTGATGAACACACTTCCTACCTAACGGTGGTTGCAGGCAAGGAAATACACAGTCATGGCACAGATGACAACTCCTTGGAGGAGAGCAAGTGTGTGAGCTACAGACATGTTCAGGGGCATCTGACCCTGCACAGGCATCTAAAGCCTGTGTACCCTCTGTATTTTCCATCTTAAAATACACCATTTCCATAAATAACATTATCACTGGTGTTTGGGAACTGAGAGTTATATTCTTTAGTTTCTGTTTTTGCTTAACACAGTTTCACTGAATGTTGGAGCAATTATCATTCAGCCATATCCCCACATCTTAATATAAAGCATTTGAAATTTTATTGAGTATCATCAATATCTTCATCATTGAACAATTATTTATTGAATGTCTACTACATTCCCCACTGCTCCAGTGTCCAAAAAGTGCGAAAGATGGTGCAGAGTGGAAAAAAAGATGATGTGAATTTTGTAACCTATTTTCTAAAAAGATAGAAACAAGGCAGAACCCAAAGCACATTAAAACAAAAAAAGCTCAGGACAAGTAAGTCAAATTGGAAGACACCAGAGCAAATATCAACTGAGCCAGTTGACAGGTGAACATCTCCAAGATGTCATGTGACTGGCAGGATCCCCCCACAGTGATGGTTTGCAAACCACTTCAGTTCTGGGTAATCCTTTCCAAAATCCAATTCATGCCTAATAGTGAGAAAAGACACAAGTGTAAATTGGAGATTGTGCAATGAAATAATATTCTTCAAAGCTGTTAGTTATGAAAAACAAGGAAGGACTGAAGAACTGTCTGATCACAAGTCGCCAAGGAAGCATTATAATGAAACTATGCAATGTGGTATTGTGCCCAGAGTCTGGAACCAAAAAGGGACATTGCAGGAAAATCTGGCCATATCCAAATAAAGCCTGAGGTTTAGGTGATGTACAGTAATCTAATGTGACTTTTACCAGGGGTACAGGTAGTCTTAGTCACAGAAAGGAAACATGGCCTTGACAAGAGCAATCCCCACCCCCACCCTATTTTCTAATTAATCCAATCCACTGAACTAGCAGTGAGAGTATTTAAGAGTGAGGGCTGGACATGTCTGAGACTAGAGAAGTGTGAACTATTCATCTCAGAGAGTGGGATGATGTCAGGAATTTATAGTCAGGTCAGGAGGGGCAGTTTTCTCTGACCCCATTCAGGCCTATAGGTTAAAACATCAGGTAGGTAAAGAGCTGAATATGGAGGGCTGTGACTTAACCACAACAAATCCATTTTTAAAAACCAATTTGGACGAGCAGTGGTGGCACAGGCCTTTAATCCCAGCACTCAGGAGGCAGAGGCAGGCGGATCTCTATGAGTTCAAGACCAGCCTGGTCTTCAAAGAGAATTCTAGGATAGCCTCCAAAGACACAGAGAAACCTTGTCTTGAAAAGTAAACAAAACAAATAAAAACCAATTTGAATCTCATTTGAGTAAACAGTCTTGGTAGAACATTCATAGTAGAAATTACAGAACTCTTAGTATATGTCCAATGCTGTGCTAAGTTCTCTACTCTCATTTAATCTACAACACCTACAGCAGGGATTGCATGCTATTACCATTTTATAGATTAAGTAACTGAAGCTAAGGTTAAGTGTCTTTTTGCAAACTTGTATATCTAATAACAGAAACATTTGAGAGTTGAGTCCATCATCTTCAGTCAGCATACGGTCTAGGAGAAGACTAGGTAGTTAGAATTTGGGCAAATTGTGCAGCTTATCACATGGTCTGCAGTCCTAGATAGGTGAGGAGTTACTTTTTATTTAGACTACCTGAAAAATTAACATTTGTACCCCGTATTGATAGTCTCAACGATAATGCATATTCCAGTGTATATGAATTTATCAGTCATTTATACTCTGGTTTAAATGGCTGTTACTCCACCATAGGATAACCCTGTGACCTGGGAATGGCCCAAGGTGACAATTAAGACTTCACATCCACACTGACTTAATAAACATTCCCTTTTCAAGGATATTTGGAAAGCAAGTTCTTGGACTTTGTATAACTTTTGATGTTAGGGCACATGGAGAGAAACTAAAGTGAAAGGGGGTGTTCTTATGCCAGGGTTTCCCAAATATTCATAACAGAAACAGCTGGAAGGTCTTTTTTAGGCAATGTTCCACTACTGAGCTGTTTCAACTCTAGGCTCTTAGGAGGCTTTTGTTTTGTTTTGTTTTCTTGAATTCTTTGAGAATTTTAAGCATTATAAGCCACATACTATTCTTTTGTGGTTTTCATAGTGTCTCCTAGGAAGAAATTCAAAAATGGATTCTGAGATGCTCCCCTTGGAAAAAAACTGACTACCAACCTCTGCTCAAGTGAGTCAACAGGGATCTTTATGTTATGTGTTGCCCTACTGCACGCCAGGCTTGGCTAGCCACTTTGCAAATATGATCTCATTTCATTTTCGCTACAACCTGTGAATTGGTTTTTGGATGCTTGAGCAAACTGCCCAAAGGTTCACTATCAAGACAGACACTTCAGAGCTGGGATTCAAACCCACCTCCCAGGATTAGCAAAGAAGACCTGCTTCCATGAGCTTATTTGCACTTTATCTCTCTCCCCATCCTGTGTGTGTGTGTGTGTGTGTGTGTTTATCTGTGTGTAGGTCTCTAGTCAAATCCCCTTTTACAAATGACCCAACTTTTCAACACAATAGTGTTTCAAACTTATTTTACTGGTTTTCTTCTAATCAGAAAATAAAACTTGATTGTCAGTAAGTATTCTCCTGGGCACATTGTGGGTTATAAATGAGACCAAGAACAATAATGCTGGAATTTTGCTACCCTTGGTGGACCATCTTCTCAAACAGGTATGGTAGCCCAGCATGCTGTCAGGACATGCAAAATTGGCAGGTGAGGCTAGTCATTATTTAAAGATAAAGCCTACCCTCTAAACAGCAGAGATACTAACAAATGAACCTGACTTGCTGGGGGTTGCACTATCCACATGGTCAATGAATTCCCCGAGTCCAGTTCTCCAGCCCTCTCTTGATGTCACCGCTTGTACCAGATGCTCCACATGTGTTCTTGGCAGCTGAATCTCATTGGAGGCAAGTGTCTTCAGAGGGACATGAGTGTCTCAGTGCTCTCGCTAGGACACCACAGAGATGTGAGAATTTATGCTCTTCCTTGGGAAAGGAAAGGAAAACCATGGTGCCCTGAAGATAGTAAAATATATTCTACAGAACATAGATAACACTCTGAAGTTTCTTCAGTTCAAAGCTGCTTTCCCAGAGCAGGCTTTTTGCAAGCCCGGGAATGCTCATTCTAGTTTACCTTGGGCTACTCACTGGTCAAGGAGCTCTGGCAACAACTGAGTTCTTGACCAGTTTTTGTCAAGCCTTAAGGCGCTGTGCGGGGTGCCAAGAACATGCATTCTCCTCAGTGGAGAGATCGCATCCATTAACATAACAAGATTAACCAGGAGGACAGGTAAGGTAACCTGCACCTTTGTGCCAACCTGGCAGCCTATGTTGATGCTCCCCTATTAGCATTCCCTCTTTGGCAACAGTCCTGATGCCATGTTAAACTGGCTGGGGCTGCCTGCTGCCTTCGGGGGTTTTTCAACCCTAAATGCTGATGTTCACTGTAAACCTATTCAGAAGGAACCCTGAAGTCAGTCTAGAGAGAATGGCTGTGAGCTCCTCAGTCCTTCTTTGGGGGACAAACAAGCTAACATCACATAGTATTTTAACAACCCTTTTGGAAGCCACCAAAGACCAGAGTGACCAGGTAGACCAGAGTGTAGTTTTCTGACAGATATTTCAGTATAACAGAGGGAGGCCAAAGTAATTTTTTCCACACAGTGAAAATCAAGAGGTCCCCACCAGAATTCCAAAGCTCGAAAATTTGTAGCCATCATCTTACACTCACTTTGAACATCATCCCTTCTAGAAGCTACTGGCTCCATCCCAATTCTTCCAAGAGGAAGCCTTTCCTGGCATTCATGCTTCACCCCTCACTCTGATCTTTCTTAGCAAACCCAGCTCACTGAGGGAAGCCACTAGTTAACTTTGCTTAAACAGTCTCACTAGGAAGAATCCCAAAGACTGAAGCTAATGGGCCACGATTCCAGATTCCCACATTTTAGCATTAAGGAGTGTCGGCCCTTTAAAGGTATCTTACGTTGGAAAAGGCAATGACTAGAATAAGGAAGTCTCTGGTGGATAAAATATACCTGCAGCCAATCACTTCTGTGTAATAGTCTACAACTTAACATTGCTCTTCCACCCTGGGCAATAGAAAGGAGCACACAAGGGGAACATGTATTCCATAAATACGTTACAGTGCCTGGCAGATGGACCCGGTCCAATTGCAGCCTTACTTTAGTGTAAAAAGAAACCATCTTGCCTTGGAAGACTCAAAGCTCCATGCAGAGGAGGACCAACTAAGACCACCGAACTTTGACACTCCTCAAGGGAAAAGCACTTGAGCTCTCTGTGGCTGTGCTTACAGTGCCAGCTAAATGTGTGGGAGAGATCCCTGCCCTGCTGCTAGAGTGAGGAACGTTTGTGTGTGGAAGAGATTCTTGCAGCTGCTCTGAGCAGTGTTTGCCACCTGCTCTGCATATGCCAAGAGCCAAAGTCAAGGTCACTTCAGAGCACTAAGGAGAGAATGATGAGCAAGCCATCCCCTCTGACAATGGAAACTCTTCATGAAACCTGAAGGAATTTTCCATGAGGAAACTTTGGCATGCTCTGCCCAGCGCTAGAGGAGATGAGGCTCTGCAAGGGCCCTTAAATCTAAAATGTGAGGAACTTCACAGAGCCATGGGCCTGACCCTAGGCAATTTCCGGTTTAGTTCTTTAGTTTTATGATGTCACTGAAACATTGCTGAAGACTGGCCTTTTAATAAAGCCTCAGTGGTAGCCCTATCTGTTCTATGACCTTGAACACAGCCTCTTGTTCAGAGAACAATGGACTTCCTAGCCCCTGGCTTAGCACTTGCTGTGGCTGTGTTGAACAGTTGGCATTTAAGTACCTGGATGTTGGCCACAAACCCTGGGGATCTGAGTCCTGACTTTATTACTTCACTGTTAGCGAACAAGCTGGGCCTCTGTTTCCTCAAATGAAAATCAGGTACTATAATAGTATTGACCTCAAGGGAGATTACACGAAATAAGCATTATTATCTTTGGGAAAATGGAAAGATAGATGCTTATAACCCATACACCTTCTCTAGAAAACACTATTTATCTGAAACATCTGTTGCTGAAAACAAGTGACCACAAAGACTTTATAGCTAAAATTAAATATTTAATTTAATATCTCTGACATTCTTCAGCAAACAGTTTAAAAGCACATGAAAATGAGCACTTGGCTCGGAATTTCAAGGCACATCAGTGGCTTAGGTCAGCAGGTCTTCTGTCTGCTTGCCTGTTTTTCCACTCTTCAGCTTTTCGGGCCAGTCATCATCCCCAACATCGCTCTTTACCTCTAGCTGAGTTTAGGGTACCTGAATCTAAAAGCAGACCATTCCCCCTCCAGTGTCCTTGCTACCATTATCTGTGTCACACTGGGCGATGTATTCTTCATGTGTGCTGGTAAGGATCACACATGTGAGGATTAAAATCAAGAGGGAGTGCTGTCTTTAATCTGTGCGTTCCCTTCCAGCTTTTCTATTCATTCTGTCTCAAGAGTAGCTAAAACAAAACAGGAAACCATGTGGAGTGAGCGGAATGTTTGCATGTCTTTAGGCTTTACTTCATCAAAGGTGGTTGGAGAAGTGGGGAGTAAATTGTACTGAAAGAGGTTGATAATTCTCAGCAAGGATATTTCCGGAAGTTATAAACTGGCTAATTTCACCATTCCTTCCTTTCCCTGAGGTTTCTTTCATTGGTCCTGTCTAACAACAGAATAAACAGATGCATGAAAATACAGGAGTGTGTTTCAGAGGGAAAAGATATAGATCTAACATTTAAAAAAAACTGAGCTCTCCACTTGAGCTATAGCCGTGTGATGTGGTAATAAGAAACATAGCCTCTCTAGACCAAAGGTCTAGGACTGCCACGAGTCCTACAAATGATTGTGAAACTAAATCACAAGTGTAGCGTGAGTAAATACTTGAAAAATTGAAATATTTACTGTCATGAAACTTCAGTTTGCACACTGCAAGTGCTATTGCAGACTTCAGAGCTCAAATATGAGTTTACAGTTGTGTTCCAACCACTGAATCACAGTGAGTAGCTCTGAAAATAAGCAAGTTCCAAGCTAGGCCTATTATACAGAGCTCCATGAAGGATTACTATCAGCAGGCATTGCAATGCATGAGCATGCAGTAGTAAATACAGAATGATAAAATTGAATGTTTAAGTGAATAGAATTCTCATATACAGCAATGTTACCTCTTCAGGAAGAGAGCCAATGGTTTAACTACATTGAGATGCCTTAGGAAAATAACTGACCTTTAAGGATTAGTGATTTGGCTTTTTATTTTCACTTGCCTTGTTCTCTGTGGTCAACAAGCTAGTTGAAACTAGTTTTTGAAGAGCCAATAAAATTTCATATGTCAGCATGCAAAAATTAATTACTCATAATAACTGTTCAGGTCATTGTGGTATACACCAAATGGAATGACATGTTTTCTTAGTGCAATGTCAAAGTCCTTTTATTATGATAATCTGATATCTGGACCATTTGTTTCTATATTATACAGTTAACATCTGAATATCTTGACCTGGGAAAGAAATAAAGAAGATACAAAAATCTAGAATAAAGAAATGAATTGGTGTTGTATTTAAATGTACAGGCATCATAAAGGCCAATGTACTTGTTCATTTAAAATATACAAACAAGCTTAAAACTATTTCCAATGAATATTGAGTACTTATATAAAAAATCCATCTCCACATATGTCTTCTTTAATCAGTCTTGTATAAGAAAAGCATAATATTAACTCTACATACTAAAGAGAAAATTAACATATGAGAAACCTTATTACGAAACACCTCCCTAGCATGGTGTTAAGCTTAACAAAAAGCTGTCCCTGGTTAATTTGACACAACTGGGATCATCTGACTTCCAGTACAGACAGATATTCAGCATGCTCAGTATAAACCATATTTTCATCACAACTCCAGCCATGCTGATTGTGAGGCAGATGTTGGAGCTGATCAGCAGAGTGACGATGGATGCAGTATGTTCCTTGCTCCTGATGAAGGACGAATCATGGTCTGGGATGGAAGGCTAGTACCAACCAAACACAGCAAGCCAGGAGGGAGAGGAATGAATGGTTGTAGAAAGCAAACACAACCACACTTTTCCAAATGTACCAAAATCCCTTAAAATATTCAGACATTTTACTTGGGAACCTTTTATTAATAGAAATTTATAATCAGAGTGACTCCATCTAAAAATTCACACATGGAGGTACATTTAACATTTTTTTATAGTAAGGATAAACTGCAAACAATTTGAACTTCCAACTACAGGGGAATACTAAAGACATACTACAACTTGGAAAGGAATGGTATATCATGTACAAAATTATGCTTCAGCAATTTATTAATGTGAAAAATATCTGATTTTTTAAGTAATGTGAGAGACAGCATATGCTATACAATATCAATTTTGGATATAGCTGACTATGGATATGGTAGAAAAATATCAGTCTCTGCCTTACCCACCTGAAAGGACGGGTCCCAAGGCAGAGAGTTGATCTGAATGGAAGATGACAGTAATGAGCCAATTACTAAATGGCTTTCACTGCCCTTTTCTGTGATACCTGAAAAAGAAGACAGAAAAGACTGATTTCGCCGAGCATAGTGGCGCAGTGGCCCACCTTTAAATCTTAGCACTTGGGAAGCAGAGGCAGGTAGATTTCTGTGAGTTCAAGACCAGTCTACATAATGAATTCCAGGACAGCCGGGGCTACATACTAAGACCCCAGTTTTGGGGGGAAAAAGAGAGAAAACAAAGAAAAAAAGACAGACAATTTTATAGATACCAAATGAATTTATCAATGGCACCATTTTTGGCTCCCAGAGTGCATAAATAAGTTAAAGCTGCTAAAACATTTGTAAACAGAAAGGCATAAAGGAATAGTTCTAATGTACTACTGACATCATCACCTCATTAAAATTAATTTTGTACCATAGGAACAATGTTAACTATTGTGCAGTTTAAATGAAAAAATAAACATACTATTTAAATCTGGAACACTGGTAAGGAACACAAATCAAAAGGAAAGCAGGCTAAAGGAAATGTCCGGAACTTTTCCAGCTCTTGCCAGAAAAACCTTTCACCTTCATGTACAAAACTCAAGTTCCCACAGACCTCTGAAGCAATAAAAAAAAATGTGCTGTACACCACTCGCTCGCTGACTTGCTATAAGTGCTGTGGACTGTGCAGGCGTGGAAGGCCACCTGTCCTTCATGCAAAGGACACAGACAGTGGGACTGGGACCTGAAACTAAGAAGAGGAAGAATTAAATAAGGACACTGACCCAGACAAGGGTTGGGTCAGCTGGGCCAGCCTCAGACAGCACAGCCCTTGTATTGCTTAAGTTCCAGGGTTCACTTGCTCAAAAACCAGAGGCCACAGCCAAGTAGATGGAGGCAGAGAAAGACTGTTCCGTGGGTTAAGTGATGATTAACTCTGCCTTCCAAGTCACCAAGTCTTCCGAGGAGAGAACTGAGCAGACTGTTTCTATTTCTGCACTACTGACAGGCTCAGCACAGACCTTCAGACTTTAGGGAAGACTAGCCTGGGTGCTGACCAAGTGCAGGTATCCATTGGCTCACCAATTCATGGAGCCCCTTACCCTTGCTGACTGCATCACCTGATCCACAAAGTGGTGTTAATATCTACTTGGCAGACATTTAGCGGAGTAAAAGAAACACTCGCCGTAAAATGCCTGGCATACAATAGGTGTCTAATAACACTCAGATTCTCTTCTACCTCTCCCCTTTTAGCTCCTTCTCTGGGCACTGGTTACTCATTTAAAATACTGAAGGAAGAAAAGAAGGCCAAAGAGGATTATTTTCGGGAGCGCAGACATCATAAAATCCTCCCAATAAAATGACAGATTATTGCACTCTGGAGTTTTGCCGCTCACGTCTCTCGATGCCAGTTAATGGCTTTCTCCCCTCCCCCACCCCAGTATGTGGGCCTTTTTACAAGAATTATGCGGTTAGCAGATTGTTTAACTGCAAGTTTCTCTGTGTATGTTTCATGTTGACTTTGGGGTTTGTTTTTAATCTATTAAAAGAATCAAGGAAATAAGAATTTAAGAGATTAAAGATTCCTAGGCATCTTTCAAGAGATAAGAAATGAGATCTATCTTTAGAACTTTATCATAATTGCCTGAAGAGATGGCTCGATTTCACGCAGCTAATCTGTATGAAATAAGTAGGCCAGAGGAGACTGACAAGGAGTATGTATTTGCAGTGGGATCCTGTAACAGGATATCTATGCTGCAAACTTATTCAACTAACACACACTGGCTGGGAATTTTTATGTGCCAAGACTGGATTTTAACCATGTGCCAAGATCATATGAGGGTCATGGGTTTCCCTAATAGCACATGGTGCTTAAGCAAGAGCTACAAATCCCCACAGTTACTTACTAGCTCCATTATTGTTATTTCCCAGTGAGTGTCACTATTAGGGGCCCATCTGATACTTTACAACATACAGAAGTTTCCAGAATGTAATCTTTCTGGGATTGTGATGATCAGGAACTTGAAGAATGATGGTTTAATCACATTTGCAAACAGTGGGTGCTATGGACCAAGAGGCAGTCTGACAAATGAAAGTCTGGGGTCCTAGGAAAGGCATTTAGAAGAGGAAAGTTTGCTCACCCTGCCTGAAGGATCTATGCTCTCTGGGAATATTGTCTGTCCCTAATCAAATCTTTACACAATGCACAGCTGCTCTGTTCCATCCAGAGATGGCTAAGTGAAGGAAGAGACTTCTCCATAAAACCTGCCCATTTCACAGGACAGACTTCTTTACAATGGTCAGAAATAGAACTTGTCCATGTAACAGTCAGGTAATCACAATTATCAACCCCTTAACGAGCAGGCATGATAGGGGACATTGTTTCCCAATTTGTTTGGCTTTGCTTGCTATAGCTCTGGTTTAGGGAACATGTATATTATCTATTTTTCCAAAAAAACTTTTTAAGTGGAATATTGTAAAATTATAAGTGTTTTCATAACTGCTATGATTATTCCCAGAAATTTATACTACCTGTGTGTGTGTGCGCGCACGCGTGTATGTGTGTATGTATGTGTATGTGCATGCGTGTGTGCATGCCTGTGTGTGTGTGTGTGTGTGTGTGTGTGTGTGTGTGTCAGTTTTAGGAGTCAGTTCTCTGTCCACTATGGTTGCAGAGATTGAGCTCGGTCACCTGGCTTGTAGGCTTGTGTGTCAGGTACTTCCTACCTGCTGAGCCGTTGTGCTTTGCCCCCCCTCAGTATTCCAGATAGAAAAGAAAGACATATATTAAGTACACTGCTCATGATCAAGTGGCTGAGGAAGTCACTCAGTGGTGGAGTAGCTGTTAATCCTCAATGCCAAAATAAATAAATGAATGAATTAGCTAATTAAAATAAAAATGCCCGCAGATGCAGTCACTTCCTCTAGAAACACTACTAATATCCCATATGTATCTCCTTCTGTGCATGTACAAGTTGACATTCTTTGTGAACTGAAATGGATTCACAGCCTGTCATGCTCACCAGGTCAACTCATTCTCCAATGCTTTTCTCCACCATCAGTTCTTAAGACAGAGTAGCTTCTACTGTACTGTGATGTGTTCAGCCAACCAAGGCATGGATCTGTGGAATCTCGATACAGAGCACCTTGAGAGCTTTGACTTCAGGTGATTTTTCCTTGTCCAGGTTGTCCTGGAAGTTCTACTCCCAGCTTGTGTGTGAGTCTGAGCCTCTGCTGTTGGCTCATCACTGCCAGCTCCCAGAGGTAGACTTCTGGGAGTTAATTAGGCCCTGGAGTCAAACCCTGTCCAAGTCACCTGATGTAATTTGGAAAAGGAAAACTACAGCCTAAGTTAGAACCTAACTCTCTTCTGACCAGAGAGAAGTAAAGCATGAATTTAAAAAAATTTTTTATTCAATTTAAATTAGAAACAAGTTTGCTTCACATGTCAAACCCAGCTCCCTCTCCCTCCTCTCCTCTCCCACCCCCCCCCCTTCAACCCTCCCCGAACCCTTCCTCCAATCCCCACTCCACTCTTCAAGTAGGGTGAGGCCCATCATGGGGAAAGTCTGTCATATGATCTGGGGCAGGGCCTAGGCCTAAGCCCTCACCCATGTGTCCAGGCAGAGAGAGCATCTCTCCACGTGGAATGGGCTCCCAAAGTCCATCTGGATGACAGGGCTAAATGTTGATATATTGCCTGAGGCCCCAAAGGATGCTAAGGCCTCCTCACTGACACCCACATTCAGGGGGTCTGAATCAGTCCCTTGCTGGTCTCTCAGCTATCAATCTGGGGTCTATGAGATCCTCCTTGTTCAGGTCAGCTGATTCTGTGGGTTTCACCCACCAATTCATAACCCCTTTGCTCATCACTCCTCCCTCTCTGCAACTGAGTTCCAAGAGTTCAGTTCAGTGTTTAGCTGTGAGTATCTGCCTCTGCTTCCTTCAGCCACTAGATGAAGGCTCTAGGGTGGCATACAAGGAAGTCAACAATCACATTATCAGGGAGTGGCATTTAAGGTAGCCTCTCCACTATTGGTTAGGTTGCCAGCAGGTTTCATCCTTGTAGGCCTCTGGACATCTCACTAGTACCAGACCTCTCTTCAAACCTATAATGGCTCCTTCTATCATGGTATCTCTCATTCTTCTCTCCTCTATTCTTCCCCCTACTCAACTATCCTACTCCCCCATGTCTTCCTCTTCCCTTCTCTTCACCCCCTCTCTCTCAGCTTCCTCAGCCTCCCATCCCCCCACCCCCATGCTCCCAATCCCCTCAGAAGATTCTGTCCTGTTCCCCTTCTCTGGGTTACCATGCATATCTCTCTTAGGGTCCTCTCTGTTTCCCGGACTCACTAACTGGAGATTGTAGGCTGGCACTCCCCTATTTCAGGCCTAAAATCCATATATGAGTGAGTACATACTGTGCTTGCCTTTTTGTGATTGGGTTATGTCACTCAGGAAGGTTCCTTCTAGTGCCATCCATTTGCCTTCGAATTTCAAGATTCCATTATTTTTTTCTGCTGAGTAGTACTCCATTATGTAAATGTACCATATTTTCTCTATCCACTCTTCAGTTGAGGGGCATCTAGGTTGCTTCCAGGTTCGGGCTATTACAAATAATGCTGCTATGGACACAGGTGAACAGATGTCCTTGTTGTATGAAAGTGCATCTTTTGCACTTACCCTCTCTGAGATCTCCTGGACTGGGAACTGTAGCAAGCTCGCCTCGCCTCTGGAAGACCAGGCTACCAGGAGCCTGCTGAGAGAGCCTGCCTATGCCCTTCCCCACCCAGGGCAAAGGGCAGAGGGCAGAGGGCAGAGTGCAGAGCTCCCACTCACCGGGAGAGGGAGTACCAGAGACCCATCTGCACCCACCAAGAGACCCATCAGTGATCTGGACCTCTTTGTACCCACGGAAAGAGAACCTTGGACCCGTACTCACCAGGAAAGAAAGAGACCCCATCTGTACCCACTGAAAGAAGGAATGGGAAGACGACAATACAAGAACAAATTCAATGACAGAAAAAGCAATATGACGCCACCAGAGTCTAGAGACCCTACACCAGCAATATCTGAAAATCACAACACAGATGAAACAGAAGAGGATGACCTAAAAACCAACTTCATGAAGATGATAGAAACCCTAAAGGAAGAAATGAGAAAATCTTTTAAAGAAATGGAAGAAAAGACAAACCAAAAATTACAAGAAACAGTTCAAACAGTGCAAGGCTTGAAAGCTGAAATAGAGACATTAAAAAAAAACACAGTCTGAAGGAATGCTAGAACTAGACAAGGTGAGTAAATGATCTGAAACTACAAATGCAAGCATAACCAACAGAATACAGGAGTTAGAAGAGAGAATCTCAGGAGCTGAAGATTCACTAGGAGAAATAGATTCATCGACCAAAGAAAATCTCAAGTCCAACAAATCCCTAAAACAAAATATCCAGGAAATATGGGACACAATGAAAAGACCAAATCCAAGAATAATAAGTATAAAAAAAGGTGAAGAAACTCAGCAGAAAACATATTCAACAAAATCATAGAAGAAAACTTCCCCAACCTAAAGAAAGACATGGCAATGAAAGTACAAGAAGCCTACAGAACACCTAATAGACTGAACCACAAAAGGAAGTCCCCTCACCACATAATAGTAAAAACCCCAAACATACAAAATAAAGAAAGAATATTAAGAGCAGCAAAGGAAAAAGGCCAAGTAACATACGACGGCAAACCTATCAGAAGCACACCCGACTTCTACATGGAAACTCTGAAAGCTAGAAGGTCCTGGATAGATATTATACCAACACTAAGAGACCACAAATGCCAGCCCAGACTACTATTTCAATCACTATAGATGGAGAAAACAAGATATTCCATGACAAAATCAGACTTAAACAATACATATCCACAAATCCAGCCCTACAGAAAGTACTGGAAGGAAAACTTCAGTCTAAGGAAAGTAACTACTCTCACAAAAACATACGCAATAGATAATCCAACTTTACCAAAAGACAAAAGAAAAAGGGTGGTAAATCCACAATTACACTACCAACAACAAATCAAAAACAAACAAGAATTAACACTCAATGCTCCTTAATTTGCCTCAACATTAATGGTCTTAATTTGCCTATAAAAAGACACAGGCTAACAGAATGGATACGAAGACAGAATCCATCCTTCTGCTGTATACAGGAAACACACTTCAACTTCAAAGACAGACATTATCTCAGAGTAAAGGTTTGGGATAAGATTTTCCAATGAAATGGATCCAAGAAACAAGTTGATGTAGCTATCCTAGTATCAAACAAATTAGACTTCAAACTAAAATCGACCAAAAGAGAAAAAGAAGGTCGTTTCATATTCATCACAGGAAATATCCATCAGGGTGAAGTCTCAATTCTGAACAAAAGAGATAAAGAAGGTTGTTTCATATTCATCACAGGAAAAATCCATCAGGGTGAAGTCTCAATTCTGAACATCTATGCCCCAAATACAAGGGCACCCACGTTTGTAAAAAAAACATTACTAAAACTCAAATGACAAATAAGACCTCACACAATTATAGTGGGAGATTTCAACACCCCACTCTCACCATTAGACAGGACCACGAGACAGAAACTCAATAAAGAAACAAAGGAACTAACAGAAGTTATGGCCCAGTTGGGTTTAACAGATATCTATAGAACATTCCAGCCAAACACAAGAGAATATACCTTCTTCTCAGCACCACGTGGGACCTTCTCTAAAATTGACCACATATTTTGGCAACATAGCAAACCTCAACAGGTACAAAAAAATGAAATAACCCCCTGTATCTTATCAGATCACCATGCTTTAAAGTTAGAATTCAACAACAACACAAAGTGCAGAAATCCTACAAACTCATGGAAATTGAACAACACGCAATTGCACCATCCCTGGGTCAAGAAAGAAATTAAAGACTTCCTAAAATTCATTGAAAATGAAGATACAACATGACCAAACTTATGGGACACTCTGAAGGCAGTACTAAGTGTAAAGTTCATAGTAAAGCATGAAATTTAAAAGTCCATTTTTACTAATCCAGTTGGTATTTATGCAGTCACTGGCTACATGCCAAGGACACTTTGACTCACTCAACTTGAGCCTTATGGAGCTTACACTATGACAGATTAACAACTTCAAACGGTGAAGTCAACAGAAGGCCAGGCTTGACTCATCTTGTTGTGGTAAATCGGGCATAGAAACTGTACATGACAAAGTAGTGTATTAGGAACCACCACAAAATACTTATGGATCTTTTGAGTTACCTAGTCAAATTGCAAATTCCGTTACCAAGTAAAAATTACGTATTCTCAGTAGACCAAGCATTATCCGAGAGGCAGAAGTACCCAGAAAAGACATACTCTAGCCTTAGTAATGCAATATGAGGGAATCCCTTAATATATTAACTTTAAATTATAGAAACAGTTCCCTGGAGTTTTGAAGGAATGGGTCCAGGTATTAGATGATGTTAATTTGGGCATGACCCATTTCCAGTTGTAGAAGTACGAGAGGATACCTAAGCAACCAGGCTAATGTAGGTAAATGGAAAGCTAAATGTTAGTGGAGACTGGAATACTTACTGATATGGAAATGACTGGGTCAGTTATGATATACTTGTATGCCTAGTGGAAAGAATGACTAGGCTCACACTGATTCAGGAAGGTATCTTCATATATAGTTAAATAAAATAAAAGAAAAGTCAACAAGGCTACAGAGTATTGTCTACAGAAGTTAATGTTATTATTTCTTTAAAAAATAAAAGATAATATTCTGTGTGTGTGTGTGTATACACATGCATCCATGTGCTCATGTGTATACACACACACATGTTTGAACAAATTTGTATAAATATGGAAATAGGCATGGAAGACTACTTGCCTAATAATGTCATTTTGGATGTATAAAATGGGATAAAGATATACACAGTATATCTTTTCATGATGTCCAGGCACTGACTCACTAATTTTACAAAGTAGGGATCTCTAAGAAAGTATTAAGGTGGGTCATGACTAAAAACATGTCACCAAAAGTACCTCACTGTAATATTATTTGTCATTTTGTCTATAGAACTCTTATTGATTAACAAGAATGAGAACATTAGACTTACAAAGGACCAATAATGTGAGGAGAAAAACTTAGTCACACAAAAACGTAAGAATTATCATGCCAAGAGACAGCTTCTATGCATAAATACTGGAGAATGGGTTAGGACTTAAGAGCCAGAATTTATGTGTCCTACTAGTGAGCTGTGTCTCCAGCTCTTGGTGTCTCCACACAGGGGCTTATTATGTAGCCCAGGCCGGTCTGCGACTCAGAGTCCTCTTGTCTCAGCTTTCCGAGTCCTCCGACCACAGGCTTCTCCTAGCAAATGCATTTACAGTTGTTTGTTTGTTTTATGCATTTTGTTTTTAAATCAGTAAGACAGAAGTGCTGCTGTGGTAGTGCCCAGTTCTGGCGCTCATGCCGGATTCTGCCATTTCCCTGTGGTACGAGCTTGGGTGAGCCTGTCAGCAGCTAGAACACAACCCCACAGGTTTGAAGCTCAGAGATTCAGAAAGAAAATTTTTACCTCCAAGGCAATTAGCACTGCATAAACTGCCATGAAAGGACTCTGACCCCCCATCCCCACCCCGCACCATACACACATATACCTTTGACCCTGCTTCTCTGAGACTGGGAATTTGAAGCTGTTCCTTCATGACTTATTCTTGAAAAGGAGCCCTCCAGGCCATGGTCATTAGGAGACCTCTGAGAACAAAATCAGACCCAGATCAGGACTCTTGGCTAAGCCCAGGCAATTCTCAAAATGCAAAGTCAGACAACTTCTGCTCCCAGGGCTAGTCACGAGCCATCTGTCTCTACTCAAGTGAGGGCTATTGGGAAATATCGGAACAAAATCAGGATCCCCAAATTCCAAGTCTGACTTTCAGTGTCTACGCTCCGCGCCAGAGGCAATTCTCCATAGCTGGCTTGCCAGGCCTGCCATCTGAATGCCAGCAAGCCTTGTGCGGTGGGGGAGGAAATGGGACAAGGAAAATGGGGGTAGGCAAAAAAAAAAAGTCAGTTTTTAAAAGTGCAGGGAAGAATGCAAGGGAAGCATTTGCAACAACTCGTGGCACTGACAGCATCAGCAAAAATATACCAGTTGGCTCATATCCAGGGAGTTCCCCAGCAGCTGCAGGGTGAGCGTTTCAGGTCCAAAGAGCATTGCTGCCTGTAGCGTGGACCAGCCCAGGCTCCATTACAGTAGATTCCACTGGGTTACAGGATGAGGTTCACAGATGTTTCATTTTAGAGGGGGAAAAGATATGGCATCCATTCCTTTGCTACATTTTTATATACTGCACTTAAAAAAAATGAAAACAGTACATTTCGATTCTTATACTGTCTTTGTGGGCCAGTATCATACTATTTTCCGTCATGGTGCTTTTAATTGACATAGTGCTAGGTCCTATACAAGGAAAAGGACACAGACACTGTCCTTTAAGAAGGTCTGAATATGAGACTGCAGTGGAAAAATAAGGCTTATCGAATACAAGGCTCATTGGGTGGGAGTTCTACATAGCTCTGTGGGAAGCCTGAAGCAAGCTGCCAGTCAGTGTCTCTTTAAGATGACTTAGCAGGGTAAGGAAGAGAAGAAAACGAAATCACTCAGAGAGCTGAGCAGAGGGGAAATACCTACCGCTTCTCCAGAATACATAGAGGTAGGCGTGTGAGTAGGCAGCCCACATTTCGGTCTCCCACCATCCCTTTCATACCACTTCCTCTTCTGCTAACAGCCTGCTGATTACCCATCCAGCATTAAGCTCCAAATTAGACCCTGAGATGTGATTGACTCCAGGCTCCTAGGATCTGTCTAATAGGAAAGTGACCTTATTCAAAAATGTGGACTTAAAAAAAATAAAACAATGCATGTCTTTAATCCCAGCACTCAGGAGGCAGAAGCAGGTAGATCTCAGAGTACAAGGCCAGCCTGGTCTACAGAGCGAGCTACACAGAGAAACCCTTGCCTCTAAAAACCAATAATACATAAATAAATAAGCAAAATGAAGAATCAAAATTTGATTATCTAATCAGGTCACCAGCATTCGCTGAAGGTAGTTTGTGCTTGACTTTTAAATTGCTCCCAGGGGAGGAAATAGCTTGTTGTGGAAAAGGCACCCACCTGAGAATCAGCCCTCCCCTACTCAAATCCCAATTGTAGGCCAGAAATTTTGCAACTGTAGAGGTCTCTGCCCTTACTTCCCCTCACTGGAATGAGTGAAACAGTCGCCTTTACATCCCCTTTCTAGCTGAGGGTTTTGTGTACAAAAGAACATTAGATGAGAACTCAGGCTTGGCTATGTTGGTTCCTCTGTGCCGGTCCCCATTTACTGATGTTGTGGAATGTTGTCCTATGGACACAACATGGCCATTGTCCTCTTGGACTCCCAGAACTACACAAGCTTGGGATCATTAAAGTTCCATCATAGAGGGTAAAGAGGGGCTTAAGAGGCCCTGCTCCTACCATAGGTAAAGGTAGTTAATGGCTGCTTGAAGGAAGACTTTTCTTCAATATAGGCAGTCATTCATAAGTTACCATGCTCTGCTCCTGTAAGTAGCCACTCCTCCATGCTCCTACAAGTAAGTCCAATTAAACCCATTACTTCACTAAGCTAGACTAGTGGAGCCATTTCCTTGGTCTGTTCTTGGTGCTCTATTTGGGGCAAGTATGTGGTTCATTCACATCACTCCTGGGAAAAGTTCACACAATTGAGCATCTAATTCTGTGATGGGATAGCATAAATGACAGATAGAATCCATTGTTGTACTACCAGGAGCATATGCAGGACTGAGGGGAGTCTCACCACTTCATCAACTTGCCATAGTCATATTTGTCATCAATTCACACACCGTGAGACCTCCTAGAGACAGTAACTCCAGGCAGAGATAATTTGAAAATGACAAAGACCTCTTCATTGCAGCCTGACTCACCTGCCATCTGTGTGGCTGTGGGGGGCTATGGAATGACTTTCAGTCTTAATTATCGCATCTGCGGACATATGGCAGTGAAGTCCACCTTGAATGAAACACCTTTGCTTTTAGGAGAGCAGCACAGCGTTGTGGGAATATCTAGTAGCCTTTTGGGTACAGACAGACCAGGTTCAGGGGCTTGTTTACTTGCTTCCTAGATAAGTTCCTATTTGAAAGTTGCTTAAGCCTCAGCTTCTTCGAATGGGAAATGGAAATAACATTTATACCCACGTAGTCATTGTATGTGAGAAGTTTACACAATTCACAGCACATGGTTAGGACTGGGTAGGAGTAATTACTCGGAATTACAACCGAGTGCAGAATTGGTCTCAAAGAGAGCTTACTTGTGTGCTGTCAGAAGCACTACAAATGAAAACAGGAAAATCCTAACCCACCTAGTGGATGAGCTATTGTTACAGACATGTACTGTCCTCACTTCCCATACAAGCAGCAAATACTCCAAAGGACATATCCTGGGCAGGTACAAAGTGGTCAGAATGAATGGACAGTATGGACAGACTTGTTTTCATGTCTGGTATCACTTTGCCTCCACTCCCAAGTCTATTAGATGGGGATAATAGGAGGCCCAACAGCACAGGATTGCTACGAAGTGCAAAAACAGTGATGCTTAGAAATGCCCCTCCTCCCAGTGTTAGTCCTGTTGCTACTCTATTAGACTTCTATAAGTTGCACTCTCCTTTCTTATCTTCTTGTGCTTCTTAGAATTTTCTGTAGTCATTTAATGTCTATTTTCTTATTACGTGCTTCTTATGTTCATGCATATTCACATTCCATGATCAATGTGTCTAAAGAGAGCTCATGTCTCACTTTAAACTGTGTCACTTGCTTTTAATGATGACAGTGACAAAGACAATAATAACAGTGAGACATTGCCTTAGTCATTAGTTTTAAATACTGTGTGAGACTTTAAAGGTATCTGCATAGTGGTATTTATAAATATGGCTGGTTCTCATAGTTACGACAGAGATATAGGCTTCCATTTTCTTTCTCACATCATGCTGAAGTACCCTGATGACACATAGGCCATATTGGCCACCCAAGGCTCCTAATGACAGAATGATTGGCATAGCCTTACTTCCCTAAATAGTTTGCTGATTCACTTGTTCCATTTTTAAACATCAACAGATTTGGCACTGCTGACATCTGCTAATTATTTGATTCTACTCGTGACTGGGATGGGGCTACCATCTGCAGCAATCACTATAATGTGATCAGAGTGAGGTTCGCACCACCCAGCCCATGACCAATTTGTAGTAATGAGTAGCCTTGTCTATTTTTCTGTTTCCCCAAGAGGTATCATTATTTATCATGTGTTGGAAACACAGCTTCCAGAAGTTCAGCAAAAACCTGGTGACACCACACTTCAAGTGGAAGTCGCACTGACTTCCTATTAATAGCTTTCAACTCAGATGGCATTGGTCTACCAATCACATATTTAAGTCTCTAACATCTCTCTTTGCTTCTGCTGCTCCAACCCTCATTCCTGTATGGAAGCAATCTTGGAAAGATGTTGAAGACCCTATCTGGTCCCTGAGACCAGATTTAAAGATTTTGAAAAGTCCCCAGAAATATTTTTGTTGCTATTTCTAAACCATCATCGTGAGACGCTGCAGCTTCACCAAGACTGATCAGTGGCACTTAGTTAATTCAGGGTAAATGAAATCGTACCAATAAACTCACTAAGAGACATGACATGTTTGTTTCTTTTTTGTAATGTTTGAATAAAATTAGAAAGGCAATATCCTCCAAATGTGGTACGATTTCATTTGCTAATTCCTTGCTCAATGTGAAGGTCAAAGTCGCTGTACATTTTATTTTTTCCACCATTTGGTAGTTTACCAAAAGAAATGTAGGAGAATGGTTCCTTGCCCCCTAGTGCCCACAGCCTGCTACTGCAAGCAGATGACTTGGCTGAGGGAACTTCCAGATAGAAGTGAGAGAATGATGGTCTACCATTAAGCATGGGAAAGTCCAAACTTTGAAGCGCTTGTCTTACCATCTAGCAGCTAAACTTCAAGTGATCAAGTAAATGCAGGCAGAACATTCAGGCCACAAATTCTCAGCCCTTTTGGCGAGAAAAGCAGAAAATGGGCTTTTCCTCGTCCCTCACATGGAGGTGCCCTGGAGTACAGCCTGGGCCCCTATCTCTTCAGTCTCTTGATTCACTAGACCACTTCCTACCTCAGTAGGTTGATATTTCTTGTCCTGCTGTCTAAAACTATCCCTGACCCCTTTCGCCCCCTAAAGCCTCTCTCTCCTGCAGAATTTAGCAGAAAGGGCTCAGTTCAATCTTATGGCATCACCGGGTTCTTTTTCAAGGCACTTATCAGGACTAACTGAATGATTAAACTGTTCTTCAGTGGATATGCCATGTGCAGAAATGGAAGCCCCTCAAAGGGTTTCTTTTTTGTTCTTGCCTCAAATTCCTACACATAGGAGGAATACAAAGGTGTATCTCTTAATGAATGAGTGAAGTCTAAATTGAAAATACACTAGTCTGAAAGGTGGCGATCCTGCTATCGGGTAATCCCAAACTGTGCTTGTTCTGGCATACAATTTGGAGATACGCAAAAAGGAGGAAGAAGAAGGGTAGGGTGAGTCAGGTCACCTTCTCCTTATTCCATTCACCATGGGTCATATACAAGTGCAATTAAACACCAAACAAGATTCTAGAAAAACCTCTCTAAATTTAGAAAGATTAAGAATTGTTTATGAAGTCCACTTACTTTTCCCATTGTGCTTATACTGCTGGTTTGCCTCCAAGACTATGTCTGCACTTCAGACAGAAGTTTGGAGAGTAGG